GCACGGGGTTCATTCAGTGTCATTCACCGTCTCGCTTAGCGAGGGCTGCCAGTGGAACTTGAGCTGGACTGCTCTTGTGCTCTCTTTTGTCCGCCATGCGGCTGCCTACTCCGGTACCTCGTAGGAGGATCTCCTTGTGGGCCTAGCCTCGTGTGGATGCTTTGCCTGGAATGTCCTGAGTGCTCATCGAAGTATGGACCCAACCTCGAATGCACACTGACTCATGAGCCAAGTCGAGAATGAACGCTTCTTTGCACATCTAGGTGGGAGAAGAAGTTTTCCCAAGGGCCCAAACTAAAGTGCACACTACCCGAATGCACAGTTCATGGTGGGCTGAGCAGCTCTTTGCCAAAATGTCGCTGAAATGAGTCACGTTCTTCCGCCTTTATCCTGCTGCGGGACACCTGGTCTGGGGCGCGCTGTATCTCGTTATGCTCGAGGAGTTGGTTCACCAAGGTGGTCTGTTACGCGAGGGCACTCATCAAATTGGCTACCTGCTGGGGCAGGTAGTGTTCACCATTTAGATTGGAAAAGTCTAGATAATAGACCTCTTCATGCATGGTGGAAATATAGTGGACTATAGGTACAAAGCTTGAGCCCAGAACAGGCATTCCTGCATAAATGTGGGGTGAAAATAACCCTGAGTCGATCGCGGGATTAGTGATCAGAAAGTGGCCTCGGATTGGATTGGGTTGGGGGAAGAGGTAATCGGAACAGGTCGCCGAGCAGGCCAACCCAGCTTAGTGGCTGGGCCATGCATATGGGTGCGTTAGGCTCACGCGTGTGGCAGCTGGCCTTGGGCCTATGCTCCGCGCTGGGCCAGCGCTGGCTCCTCACGAGCTTAGACTCGATTGGAAACTAAATAGGCTTGAGTTACCTTAGCAGCGAGTTAGGCCTGAGCTGTTGCAACTTAGGCTGCTGGTTGGGCTCCAGCTGCTACGACTTGGGCTGTTTGGCTGGCGGCTTTAGCTGCAGTGGTCTGGGCCTCTTGGGCTCAGCCTGATTCTCAGTAGACCTAGGCCTCTTGCCCATAGGTTAAGGAGTGGACCTGGGCCTCCTGCCCAAGATTTTGAGGGCTGTGGTGCTGCAAGGGTAGCAGTGCTTACATCTGGGTCATGGCCTGGTGGCCCTACCGTAGCTGCTGGGTCCCGGTGGCAGTGGTGGGGTTCATCTTGTCGTTGCGTTGAGCCTTGAAGATCGCCGTCGTGGGGCTATGTCCTCGTCTGCACTCTCCTTCCAAATCCTTGTACGTAAGGGGTTCCATTCGTCATGGTTTCTGAATTTCCTACCATTATGTCCTTTCTCCAATGATTGATCAAGAAACTTTTCTCTGAAAAATTAATTGATATGACGTGTGAGAAATTAATGTAACAGAAAATTCAAGAAACAAATGCAAATGGCTTCTTTAAGTATTTGAATTAGCTCTCAATGAAAGCACCAATTTGTCAAAGCAAATTTTCGCCGTCTTCAATCTTGACGAAAATGCACCTGCGAAACAATCAACACCTTTGATCAAAAACCTAAGCTTCACGCGCCCAAGAGGTAGGGGGTTAGGCCAATGGATCTCCGATGCCTAAGTCAATTTATTTGAGAGAGTAAAGTGTTTAGGGCTTTTTAAGGGTAGCAAAAGCTTCTGAAATTTGGAAGAATATGGGGTATGTATAGGGAAGAGGGTCGGCCATAGTGTTAGGGTTTTACCCTACACATAGCAGCATCCTATTGGCCAATGTTTATGGGAAAATATTCTCAAAATATTAAATAGGAAATAATATCTTGAGATAATGGAGTAATTATCCCTTATTGATTTAAATGGGGATTACTTACTTGATTGGAGTCATTCTTCAATTGGGAATGTATTAAAGATAAGATTTGGGTAATTAATCCTTATCGTTAATGCTTTCTCTTTTCCTTGCCAAGGGTAGGTGAGCTGTGTGCAATCGTATTCAATTGCTGAGATCTTCAGGGGTGTGAGCTGCGCATGGGAGTATCTGAGGAGCCTGCCCATTTATTGAGGGCAATCTTGTCTTTCTTGAGTAAAAGTCCATGTGTCGCCTCTAGAATTTTTGGGATTATTTTTGGTTCCATGACGGGTAACAATTAGAGTTTTGGTTTATTTCCTTATGTTGAATCGGAAGTAACGTCACATTTATAACCTCATTCTTTGATAATGCAATATAGGGGATTGACCATCGTCCCAATTAATCCTTAGGCATTTAAGAAAATTAAGAAATGGCACCTAGACCTATCCAGGTGCCAGCCTAAACTTGCCTAGGCATCCACCTTGCCCGCCTAGGTGGTCTAGGTGAGCTGGGCGGTTTGAAACCTTTTTTTTTTTGCTCTTTTTTTTTAAGAAAAAAAAATCTAAGGAAGTGGCGTGGTGACTTTCATTTAGACAGAAAATAGATAACTTTCATCTTGTATTTTAGTTATTCAATTAATTGTAAGAGACTTGTTAGATGCTTAGAAGAACACTCATTATGTTTGTTCTTCATGTTTTCAACATGGTCTAGTACTTTATAATTTATATCTAATTCTATTTTGTAATTTATTTATCCCAATACAATTATGTAATTTTTAAGCAAAAGTAGACATTTATTTATATGTTTTATTGAATCTCACATCGACCAAAGGGAAAGAAGAATAAGAGTTTAAATAGGATTACCCCACTCTAATTAACACCGAGGCCTTTTGTGATAAAACCTCATACCTGACGAGTTGGGCATATGGTAATTACCAAGTTGGGGATAGTATCAGTGATGTTAGGGTGAGGCCCTCAGCCCTCTGACCTGAAAATTTCAACATTTTATACAACAAAATTAATTAAATTAACAAAAGAACAAAAACAAAAAAAAAAAACAAAAAACTGCTTAGGCCCCAAACTAGCCTATAGGTGCTAGGCTCCTGCTCGCTGTCGGACTATTGCTTGGCGTCTTTTAAGACCATGACAACAATTACAACCTACATTTTTCCCTTCATCTAATTCCATTACATGAAACCATGATAACACTTATAACCTAGATTTTGCCCTTAATCTAATTTCATTACATGAAAATACTCTCTTTCTTACAACCCAACGTCGTTGTTTTTCAATATCCGTAAACTTAGTAAATGTAAGATGATAGATGGAGAAACAAAAAACTTTCTTTTGATTTTTGATAAGGGCAATCTTAATTCATGCAGTAAAAGAAAAGAAGATAAGGAAGAAGTTAATATAAATAGGATTCATGGTTATGCCGTCATTGTGTATGTCACATCCCGGCCCAGGGCAGATCACTTCTCGGCCCAGCTTCACCACCGTAGCACGATATTGTCCGCTTTGGGCTTACCATTCTCTCACGGTTTTGTTTTTGGGAACTCACGAGCAACTTCCTAGTGGGTCACCTATCATGGGATTGCTCTAGCCCCCTTCTCGCTTAACTTCGGAGTTCCTACGGAACCCGAAGCCAGTGAGCTCCCAAAAGGCCTCGTGCTAGGTAAGGATTGGAATATACATTTAAGGATCACTCCCCTGGGCGATGTGGGATGTTACAATCCACCCCCCTTAGGGGTCCGACGTCCTCGTCGGCACACCACGGCCAGGATTAGGCTCTGATACCAATTGTCACATCCCGGCCCGGGGCGGATCACTTCTCAGCCCAGCTTCACCACCGTAGCACGATATTGTCCGCTTTGGGCTTACCATTTTCTCACGGTTTTGTTTTTGGGAACTCACGAGCAACTTCCCAGTGGGTCACCCATCATGGGATTGCTCTAGCCCCCTTCTCGCTTAACTTCGGAGTTCCTACGGAACTCGAAGCCAGTGAGCTCCCAAAAGGCCTCGTTCTAGGTAGGGATTAGAATATACATTTAAGGATCACTCCCCTGGACGATGTGGGATGTTACAGTGTACATCCATCATGTAAACAAAGAAAACATTAAGCCCTAGCTACTTCTTATATATAATAGAGAACTTTAACGAAAAGATTCCGATATTGTTCACTTTAACCAAAAATCACATTTTTACACTAAAAAGTCAATCCTGGTACTATTCAGTTTACCCTTTATTTTATCTTTATCATTGAAATTCAAAATTTTCAAACATTTTTCTTTAGTTTTCTTTATATAATAATCCATGGAACAGGATCCTTATCGTTCCTCAATAATCTGCATGTAACCCGCAGCACGCCGGTATGAGCTCAAAAGATATTGTTTCCGTTTAAACAATTTTTTAATTAGACGCAATACCTTTTAGTACCCCAATCACATACGCTAAATATGATAAACATATCCAAATAAAAGATTTCTTTCTTTTTTTGCCGGGTTTTAACTTTTGAGCCCTAAACTTAGGCATGGTGATGGTGAGTAGTGGGCAAAAAAGGGAAGAGATCCTCTTCGGATTTCTCCTACCAAAGTCACCAAGTTCACTTATTTGGATTCTTAAAATTTAATTCAACGGTTAAAATTATTATATTTTTAAGGGACCTCTTATTTGTAGCCGCTTGATCAAATTTTAAGGGTCCAAATAAGTGGACTTGATGGATTTTATGGAAGAGATCCGAAGAGTATCTCTTCCCAGCAAAAAAGGCAAGTTTGCGTACGTGGGAATTATATATGAGAAGGTTCATCTAACCTTCTAATGGAGGCCATTAAGCCGGGCAGATTCATTTACGTTCACTGTAGCCAGCATGCATAAAAAATCAAACACCAAAAATTAAAAAACAAAACGACCCAAGTAGCAAGGGGTAGCCACTTAGTACTTACTACTGGTCTAGTAACATTTATGTTCATTTATAAGTGAGAAGTTTTAAGTTTAATTTTTGCCAAAGTCGAATTTGAATTATATTGTTGCTCACCCATTATAAGACTAAGTTCTATCCCTCCCTTTCGTGTAAATACCATCGTTCGTTCAAATGGCAAGGGGTATTTCTGGGAAACCGAGGTGTCAAAATCGTAAATTTGGCTTCGAAACGTGAGCGTTTCTAGAACCCAGCAGTTTAAAAGCATGTGGCCAACTCTCTTGCAAGTCCAGGGAGTTTCAACACCCAAAACTCAACATTTACACAGACCAGACCAGACCATCTCTCTCTCTCTCTCTCTCTCAAATTTCCTCTTTTGGAGAGGCAGAGAGGCATTGCAATATCTCTCTCCAAAACCCCATTAAGAAATCCAATTAATCCTCGCTCTCTCTGAGATGGGTGGGAAGAAATTCGCAGTGCTTCTGTGCGCAGAGGACACGGAGTTTGTGAAAAAGACGTACGGGGGATATTTTGGGGTGTATCTGAGAATGCTGGCGGAGGAGGGGGAGGCTTGGGACTTGTACCGGGTGGCGTGCGGTGAGTTTCCGGAGGATGATGAGATTGAAAGCTACGATGGGTTTGTGATATCCGGAAGCAGCAGGGATGCCCACGGCACTGATGCCTGGATCTGCAGGCTTCTCTCCCTCCTCCAGAAATTGGATTCCATCAGGAAAAAAGTTCTCGGCATTTGCTTTGGTCATCAGGTACATAATCATTCCATCATTTTTATTTTTGTCATCATCTTCACAAGAACCAGCGATATTATTACTCTAATTTACACTAAGAAATGAGTGTGGGTTTGAACCCAAATCAAATGAATTGATGAGAAAAATCATATTCACAATTCATCCTTGTATATATTGTTCATTCATTCTTTGTCTGTCTTTTGTTTTCTTCGTCGAATCGGTAATCGGTTGGTTTTTTCCATTTGGAAATTGGATTTTTTAAGAAAGGGCATTTTGGTCGTTTTAGTATATTTTGCTTTGATGTGTTTTCCTATTTGAATTTTTTTTTTCTTTTTTTTTTGGATTTTGATTTTGGATGCCATATTGGGAACAGTTTTTAAAATGTTGATGTTGGTAGAAATATCGATATGTAATATGTTGAAATATCGATAAATATATCAATATCAGTTGCTTTCGATGAAAGTTATAAAAAATGAAATTTTGGAGATTGTCAAATATTAGTTTAAACGAAATATAAGGATTTCTCCGATATTTAACCGATATGTGGGAAATTTCAACAAAATATGTTGATTTTAGCTTAAATTTAAGAGTTTTTCTTATATGTAGTGAAGTTTAGACTTTACCCCCTTCATGTCTTTTTCTGATTTTTCGGATATTTTTACAGAAATATCAATAATATTAAAGAAATTTTAAACACTTATTGGGAAGAACAAAATGGTGGGAAAAAGACTGTTTCGTGCTGGACACTGACATTTTCAGTCATTTCAGACTAAGGGTATAAGAGTCTTTATGGGAGCACAGAATTAATTGTGATTAATAAGTTAAGTAACCGTTTGAAAATAATACTTAAATATTCATTAGTAAGCGATTTATATACTCATTTTTTTTATTTGGTCCAATAATTATTTAACACATATTTTATTTTTCAAAAAATTATAGACATAATGTTAAACTTTTTTGGCTTAAAAAAAAAAATAAGAAACACGTGTTATCTCTTATTAATCATGGAAGAAACGTACAGATAATAAGTAAGGTGCCCTCTTTTTCTCTCTAAGTTTGACCATTGATTAAAACGCTTGATTTTGTTCCCCATCTATATGTATATATTTGACAAAAATGTATCAGGAGTAGCTGGTGCCCACTACTTAACAACATTATATATCCAGAAGGCCACTAAAGGTTGCAACACTTAGATGTTTGCGACATAGCCTTGTCGGTTTACCCTTACGTTATTGGAGAACCAGCGTTGGTTCTCATTTTATTATCATTATCTTTTGACTGACACTTTGTGTCTTAGCAACGATACATCCATTTACTTGATACATTCCTTATTTGAAGATCAAATATGTCATAAAAAGATAATATAATATCTGGCCATATTTGTTTTTGTTTTGCTTTGGTTGTCTTTCACTCAGAGACAAAATCACATTGCTGCTCATTCAAATAGAGCATAAATTCCAATAAAAATCTGTCCGAGTCTGTGAACTAACAAACTAGCATTTGGGTCTCAAACAAGAGTCGGTGACTGACACTAAAGAGAGGTGGGTATAAAATTAAACATGCGTGTAATTTGTGTAATGTGTGTTGAATTAGGTTAATATTTTGTTCCTGAGTGTGATTTGATTGGGTTAGGACAAAAGAGGCGTGGTATATTGGTTTATGGTCATATATTTTTCTTTTTGGCCAATAGATATTATAAAAGTTAAATTCAATTGACGTTGGCAGAATTAAATATAATATCTATGAAAGTTTCCATGACATTTTGTAATTTGTCGGTGGCTAAACTAAACTTGATAGGAAATGTTGTGTGCTTCTGGCTTTTCGGTGTTTTTTTTTTTTTAATTATTTTATAGCAATAGCAATATAAAATTAGAGTTAAAACATGATTACATAAAAGTGTCAAACTGGGTGTATTTATCCAGTGATCAAGCACCACAAACAAACATAGTGAATTCGGCTCAAATCTTGACATGCGAGGTGGCTAAGCCACTGAAACGGACAAAAAACGCACGGCCACCTTGGAAACCAGCGGAAGAAGGTGGCTTCAACCTACCACAACCACAATAACACCCCAAATCCCACGGATCTATACTCAAAATAAAGCGTATAGGAGGGTTTGGGATGGATTAAACTATAGAGAGTTGCTCCAAAATAGCGGACGAAGAGGTGAAAAATAGTAATTGATAAGATGGTAAGCAGTACCAACATTTAGGATGGTGAGAAAAATACACTCTTCTTTTGGATCGTGGGGGAGGAAATAGAAAAGTGGGGATTGTGACTTTTGGGTGCTTTGGTTTGGAGGAAGGAGAGAGAAACGTGTGCATGGTTTCGCACTGTCGCCAATTGCTTGTTATGAAAGTAAGAGAAACGTGTCCAACACCACATGCATACGTTAAAAATATACTTGTATACTAATACTTCCATGCAACTTTGCCTTTATTGGGAGGGATTCTGATTCTTCTCGTGGATGAATCACCTCACCTCCCACTACTTGATACATGGGATATGGCTGCTGCCTCTCCTCCCTCTATTGTCCTTAGTCGATGTTCTCCTCTTCTGTCCATGGTGGTAGCCCTTATTTCCTTGAATTTTCTTTTGAAATACGAGACATGCTTTATTATGTTTGCATAGCTGGCTAGTTGCTGGAAAAGTTCTACTGAATTCAAAAAACAATTAACAAATAAAAAACTTTAAAATTTATTTAGGTTAATTAATAAAAGTTTTATTAAAAAATAAGTATTGTGCTGTGCATAGGAATAGTGATACAAGTAAGTAGCATCTAAAATATATTATTTAGAATAAGAGCTTTTATAATCACACACATTGGCTTTCATATTCGTATTCATGTGAATTATATTAGTAAATAATTTATACAGAATCGTATTATTTTTATTCTGATTCCATAAATTTTTAATAAACAACGTCAATAGGAATCTGATTCTAACTCCACTTCATTCCAACTCCTCCTCAATACAATTCTTGTTATTCTGATTACTGATTAATAAACGAGCCATTGGTTGAGGATGTGATATTTTGAAATATGGAGGCACTTAATGTGAAAAAAATCACGAAAAAATAAACGAAAGTAAAAGATTTAGTTCGTTCTATTGCTCTTTTAGGACACAATAGATGGCCTCGACTTTTTGGTGTGTTATAACTTATATGTCAATTCTATTAGTTTTTAGTTAGTTATATTTCTTTTTGGGTTGCTTGAAAATGGTTGAGCAGCCAACTCCTTCTCCACCCTTCAAACTAATGCCATTGATGCTTGTTTATGTTTGTGATGAATGATTGAGAGTTGTGGCTTTGATTAGATATTGAGCCGTGCATTGGGAGGAAAATCTGGCAGAGCCATCACAGGCTGGGATATCGGAATCCGAACCATCCACGTGTCATCATCTTCCAAGGCCTTATCCACTCTCAAAATTCCAGCTCTTCTCTCCATATATGAAATCCATCGAGATGAGGTGTGTATGTCTGTCCACAAATCTACTTCTCCTTCGTTGATCGTCCTACAATATCAGTTTGACTTTCATGCAAAATACTTTAGCATTTAGGGCTTAGGGTTTACCTTACCATGCACGAAAGTCAAGTTTAATTAATTATATGTTGCTTAACTTGTTATACATCAGTTTTAATAGATAAATTCATGTTCATTGATCTCATTAAAAAAAATAGGTGTGGGAACTGCCGCCTAAGGCTGAGTTAATTGCCTGGTCGGATAAGACTGGTGTGGAGATGTTTAAGTATGGAGATCACATGATGGGAATCCAAGGACACCCCGAGTACACCAAAGACATTCTTCTCAATCTTATCGATCACCTTGCCAAACTCGAATACATCTTGGTAATATACTTATATAACATTTTTGTGATCGTAAACACTCTATAAATTTTCCGCTTAGCGGTCCAGAAGCTAAATTGGGAGTATCAAAATCGTTATCATTATCTTTTCAAATGTTCGTCTAGTTAACAAATCATGCAACAGTTTAATTTGTTATTGTTGATTTGGTTTTAGGACTCGGAAACTGAAGAATTGAAGGCCAAGGTGGAGGCATGTGAGCCAGACAGAGAGGCATGGAAGAGGGTTTGCAGAAGCTTTCTCAAGGGTGAATTATGATGATAAATGACTAATTTATGAGAAAGAAAGAAAAAAAATTAAGTGTGAATATGTTGTGTGTTGAGGAGAGGCTAAGAAAGGGTCGTTAGTTGTTTCGGTGTTCTTAGGTTGGTAACTGTGTTTAGGTTGGCAGCTTAAGGATTAATATGTTATCAAGTATAATTTGAAGAAGAATTTGCAAGGTTGCTTAATTTTGCTAATAAAATCTTTGCATTTTCTGATCATCTCACTCAGGTAGTACAATATGATTGACATCCGTGGCCTAGCATGCAGCGAAAAGGAAACAAAAATTACTGCAAATCAATCCTAATATTTAATTATGGTTCGAATGGTTGACATCCAATGCCTAGAAAAATTATAGTCCAAACAACTTTATAACAGTACAGATTAAAGTAGAGATGAGGGAAGACATGAAGGAAGTTGCACGGCCGGTCTTGAGAATTTTGGTGTCCGGGACAACGCAACATTTGTATAACTCTATATAAAAAAATAATAAAATTTTTAAGTGAAGAATTCCACATGAAGGATTTCTTCTTTTCTCACTATAATGTTGACATTCTCAAGAAGACAACTTTAATTAGAAAAATGCGTAACAAAGGGTCCAGCAGTGGAGGGTTGGATTTGTTAGCAGTGGGCCAACAAGTTGTTCACAGCTCAACATTTTCAACTAGGCTTGGCAATTTATCACACGATCTGTTAACTCGACTCAAAATGACACAAAAATAACGAGTTTCAGATCTAACATGTTAACTAATTGGGTCTTTGTCTGATCACACGTTAACGGTTCTTAATAGATATGAGTGCATGAACTAGGCCCAAAGCATTTTGAAGGAGAAGCAAGTCCCTAGAGAATGCTTTGTTGTTTTTGCCAGAAGCTGCTAAGTGTTTGGTGTGATGTTATGTTGAGATTCTCCCGACGATGATAAAGTTTTTTGGCAATTGTCGAAATGCTTGGTGATGATATGCTAACACTGAAAAATGGCTTGGCATGAGAGCTTGAGGTATGGGAGTTAAAGGATTCACAAGTTTAGCAGATGAGAGTGCATGAGCTTCCTTTGGTGTTAGCTTGAGTGTGGAATGAGGGCTTAAGGATTTTCTTGGTGTCTTGGTGAGCATTTGACACTGGTGGTTGAGGTTTCAAAGGTAGAGGATGAGAAGTGGAAGGAAAAAGCTTAAAGCTTGAGGAAATAGAAAACAATGGGCTTGAGGTTATAGGTTGTTGGGAAATTAAGAATGAATTTCTTAATTCTTATAACAAAGAGAAGGATTTCTTGCAGTAGGGAGAGGAACAATACATTTTGTTCAAGCTCAATGACCCGAGTAGTACTTTGGAAACAAGCAAGCCCACTCCTAAAAAATGCACTGACACCCAGCCCATTTAATCCACTCAAATGAATAATGATTGACCTCAATGAACAGTAATTGGCCAAATGCATTTTCATTCCTAAAAAATGCGCTGGCACAAAGTCTAGTCAATTCGTATTAAAATATTATTAATTTTTTTATAAAATAATAAAAACCAAAAGTATTATTTTGTAGATAGATTTCCGATAAAATTTTCCAACTAATCCCGAAGCGCCACGTGTCACTATCTGTTTACAATAATTTAGTTAAGATTGAAAAGTGGTGTAAAGTGGAAGATGATGGTTAGGTATTTGTAGAAAAATAATAATAATTTTTTTTAAAATTTTTATATATTTTTAAATTTTTATTAAGTTTATTAATCTGGATCGTTGGATTTGAAAAAGATTGAAATCCAACCACCCAGATTTGGACACATGGTCAATAGTCATAATTCTAACTGTTTTCTTTTTTCTTTTTTCTTTTTTACGTTTTTTGGGCAAAAATCGTGAATTGTTGATTTAGGAATCGGACGGCCCAAAACTCGACACGTCATTAGCCGTTGGGTTTGAATTTCAAATTTTTTTTACCATTGAAAATCCAACGAACGAAGACGCGCCACGTGGCTTCTTGCAACTCCCAATTATTACACCTACAACAACAGGCCCCGTTGTCTTTTTCTGTCTGGAACACACACCCTACGCGCGCATGTTTCCCACGCGCCTGACGCAAAAAACAAATAAAATAAAAAAAGAGAATAAAAAAAAGGTGTCGGCCTCGCTGGATGCCAATGTGACGTCACATAGGCCGAGACATTGCTCAGCACGTTTTGGCTCAGCCTACAAGCTGGATTGGGCTGGATGCCAGCCTATTCAGCTCGGCTGGAGTGGATTTTGATGGTGCCAGCCTATTTTTAGGCTTTGGACCAGCCTATCTCCATGGGCTGGAATTACTGGGAGAGGAACATTGCATTTTCTTTACAAATAAATCTTTATGCCCTACCATTTACTACTACGATCTAATAATATTTCTACTATTCCTTCACTTGTAAAAGACCTTAAGATCAATTCTCGCCAAAGACAAATTTGAACCACATTATTTCTAGCCCATTGTAAGGCTGGCTAATCTCACCCTCTCCACCCCCTCCCTTTTAGTGTAAATAATATCATTTGTTCAAAAAAAGTCTTCCCACAGCAGCTCCAGTAAAGAAAAGACCAGAGCAGAAGACATGAGCACTTAAAACACGGAAACCAGTATAGCTCCAAAAATCATTATTTTACCAACATGAATACTCGGTAACAAGAAACCGAGTTTAAATAAGAGGTACTAATTAACGCAGCATGTAAAACCATGCATACAAAGATTTCTATAAATCCTTCCCCCACAATAGACCACTAATTCACCATCATGACAGGCACAGGAATGAATAAAACGTTCAGAGTTTAAATCGGGTAATAATTCATCTCATGGCAAAGGAAGTAGTGTGCTTAGGCATTCAACATGCCGGAGTTCTTCTTGCACTCGGACAGCATATCCATGTAGAACTGGCACTTGCTTATATCACTTCCAAAGTGGTTGACACACTGCAATGTCAACAAATAGACTGAAGTTAGTTCTGAAACCAATTCACACTTCCCATTTCATTTCATTTCAGTAATAAGGATCAGTCAAATAAATTACAAGATAAATGTTGAAACAAGAACATTTTGATGGTCAAATAAACCGACGTGAAAACCATTAAAAAGATAATTCATATCTCAACTACCTAGAAAACTCTTCCAGATGCATGAAACGTCATTACACAAATATCTCATGATTCATATCATCGTTTGGTTATTTCACCAAAAATAAAAACACAAGGATATCCATGCCAAACATTACAACACCCTTCTGAAAAGCACTTGAAAATCCAGGATATTTGGAATGAAAATTCCACAGGGGATTCTGTAGATTACTCATTCGATGCTAAAACAACAAAAGGAAACTAGATATTATGAAATTACAAATAAAAAAATCCACGCTAGGCACCACAAGTTCTTGGAAACGGGTATAAAAAAAATTCTAGCAAGATACTACCAAATTTCACACCAAAGAAATGCAATGCAGCAGGGCAAGAGAAGATAAAATATAAATTAAACACTAGAAGGGTACATTCCTATTCCTCCCCTTACTCATCCACAAGTATAACAAAGAAACATAATAACATTTACTTGAGACACTAAATTCTCAGGAAAATAAAAGGAAAATGGTGTAGAGTTCTGCATACATCTTGGAATGCCTTGGAGTGATTACTGCATGCATCTGAGCCACCCATGCTGCTAGCCATGGGGACTGGAGCACCAGCAGTGGCCTCAGAGACTACAGTTTCATGTTGAATAGTGCGAGGACCCATCACGGCATCCACAGCTCTGTGTGCCACGGCACTTCCCGTACCAAAAGCCATACCTGCAACACGAGGGGAAGTCAGACATACAAGACCAATTTTTATTATCGTGCAAACACAGAAATAAGCAACCAGACAAACAAATTACCCTGTGCTATGGTTGATCCAATTCCGGAAAGCATAGATCCACCACTTCCAGACTGAGCCGGAGCTGGAGGAGGAGCTTGGCGAACTGCATTGTAACACAGATAATGCAATTAGAGGTGAAAGGGCAATATTATATATTGACAAACAAAATAAATCTTGCTGCAATAAATGTTAATTTAGCAATAGTGCTAATTTATCAGTAATGTCCTAAATAAGTACCAGGCTGAGGAGGGTTGCGTGCAGGTGCATGACGGGGAGCTGGGCGGGCAGATCGACCTGCAAAAGGAGTTCAACGAGCAATAAACTAACCATACACAACCCGTAAATGGGGAAAATGAATACACATTTAAATCACTGTGACATGAAGACATCAAACCCAAACTCAAGCTCTCTCCAAAAGTTACTACAACAAAAATGCATAGTGTTTATCCCAGCCATGGGAACATACAAGCCCTAAAATTTCATAATAGAATTCACATCTAATAACTTTCATTCGGTTACGAACATCGTAACAACATGTAAAGCGCACTACAAAAGGAAAAACACAATTCATAAAGCATCCCTTATGTCTCTGTGGATGTATTAATTCGCCTAGCCAAACAATAAACCTAATTCAGAAAACCAAATGAAAACGATTAGATAAAAATCTTTATAAATTAAGTTAAACCCTAGAACCTCCATTTCCTTGGAAATAAACCCTAGAACCTCCATTTCCTTGGAAATTAGAAACCCTAGAACCCTAACCCTAATTAAACAGCGACATCCACATATGCTATTGTACAAGAAAAATAAATTTCATATCGATTCATGGTTTTCTCAGCAAACCCGAAACCCTAGAATCAACGAAAACAAATGGAAACCAAACCCAACGGAGGATTCTGATCTACATAATAAAAAAGCAGAAAACAGATACAAGGAAGAGAAGATTCTGCGGCGCGTACCTCCTGAGCGGCGAGCCATGGCAGCGAATATCGGGGAGAGCTTAACAAATTGAAGAAGAGGCGTCTGGGAAAACCTATCTGGCCTCCCAAAGGCCCTCGAACGCTTTATTTTATATGCAAAAGAGTGTGTATACGCTATGCCAACGAATCATGCGCTCGGATACGTGGCCCTACCCTGTTCTACTATTTTATGGTCTTCTTTTGTACTTTGACATTT